GAGAGAGAGAGGGAGAGAGAGAGAGAGGTTTAAAGTAGAGAGTGTGTGTGTGTGAGAGAGAGAGAGAGAGAGAGAGAGAGAGAGAGAGAGAGAGAGAGAGAGAGGGAGAGAGAGAGAGAGGTTTAAAGTAGAGAGTGTGTGTGAGAGAGAGAGAGAGAGAGAGAGAGAGAGAGAGAGAGAGAGAGAGAGAATGTGGAGGCGTAGAGCAATGCAAAGACCGTGTCGCGGAGTTACATTGCCATTACGCGCTATTACGCACTGACAGCTGCTTTCAAGAGAGTGGAGCGCACGTCGCAGGAGGAGCTGGATTATTGTACGGGATTTTCCCCTCACACACATACGAGTGAGTCTAAGCAGGGGAGGCTGGTGTTTTGTCTGTTTGTGCCTGCGCGTGCTTGTCCATCTCTCTGTTGTGGAGCACAGCGGGGACGCGTGGCTCCATAGAGCTGTGATTGGAGAGGTTTTTGGTGTCTTGTACATATGCGCGCTCCGAAGCGACGCCTAATGTTTCATGCACCATGCTTGCTGCTGCGCTTACACTATCTATAATCATGTAAATCTAATATTGGAAGTTTTTTTCTGTGATGTGACTAGTCACGATGTTAAACATGTCATAGATACCATATTGATTACGCATGCATGCCTGGTGAAGACCAGGAGCGCCGTGCTGTCAAAGCCTCGCCGATGTTTCCGCAGTAAGGAAAGTGACTTGGAACCGAGCCAAGGTGTTCTCAAACTCTCTTCCTCAACTTTTTTTCTTCCCACGAGGGTTTAGCCAAGACCCCAGCCCCCCCTGGCGGTAGATCACTAATTGCATTGACGAAGGTGGTGGTGGGGTGGAGGGGGACCGCACAAGAACTTTAATGCAATTCTGATCGCCAAACTCAAGGTCAATGAAGTACTAATAATAATCAAATGAATCTAGAGATGTTCCTCTCTGTGAGGACCTTATGGAGGTCTCTGGGCTTCACTTGGCGAAACGGCAGCTTTTCAGCTTAACAGAAGAGGGCGCACAGCCATTCATTATATTTGTCGGTTCATGCAATACACATGTGGCAATTTAGAGTGGAGTGATTTTTTGGTCATGTTTAATCATAAGACGTTGATGGCATCTAAGGCCATTTGATAATGTCTGGCGGTTTTTTTAATCCATGCTAAATATAGATGCATTGTTGCTTGGGTAAAAATAGACACTAAATCCTTCACTCATCATCCCATTGAAATCTGTTGATTAACTGTGATGAAATATAAGTTTATGTTGTAACCACACCCTTGGGAGTCTGCAGGAGGCTTTCAGGTTGAACTTTGCAGTTTTATTTTTATTTCTGAGAGCACATCGCTGTGTATGTCTCCAAAGGTTATGTAGCATTGCAATACATTTTTGTTGTTGTTGTGTTTTTATTTTTATTTGTTTGGGAGGGGGCTAAGGGCCACTTAGAGGGAAAGGGATAGAAACACACTATTAAATATCAGCAAAACCACATGGCTTTAATGTTGGAAGCAGTGAGAAATGGGAACCCCTGATCCTACATGGTCAGCTTGAAGTCTGAACCAGCAGTTGCAGCGTCTCCACACACACACACACACACACACACACACACACACACACACACACATACAGTCTTCAAATTACGCTTCCATCAGAAGTGGTTGGCTCTCCTTTTGAAGTGCCATCAGCTGCAGACCTCTTAAACCAGCAGCAGGTATAGTGTGTAGAGAGCAAAACATAATGACACATTTTCCGTCTTTCTGCAGGTTTACTTATTGTGATACAGTATAATCTTGAGGAGACTGTCTTGTAGACTTTAACCCTGTTTCTCAGACTAACCTGACTACACTGTTGCTGGGTTGCCATGCTGTTTTTGTTTTGTGAATGATGATCACCCCAGTGCACAAACCTGCTAACGGGGAAGTTATAATTAAAATGTAAATGAAATGAAGCACAGACAGAGTAGGTGGTCAAAATCTCCTTTTTTTTTTGTAGTTTTGGTATGCAGTCAAATTCAAAGACACATTTCTGTCATAGCCATGATGATAAAACTCTTTTCTCTTTTGCAGAAAGAAGACAGAATTCTTTCGTCGACACTCGGCCGATCTCCAGCAGAACAGATTGATCTTGAGAGCAGAGCAAAGGAATGGTGGATCACCTGCCGCTTGGTGAGGAGACCTTCCTGTATTGCACCGGCTCCCCGGGGTCGGACTACAACTGCCTCTGTCACCACGCTAATGGTGGCACGTTGCCGGGCATCATGGTAACCGACGCGTGCATCTACGACCACCACCCCTACCAAGGGGAGACTCTCTCTTCCTCCCCTCGCCCCTCTGAGGATGACCTCAGCGACTCCTCTAGCCCTCGATCCTCCCTCTGCTCGAGCCCCGAGGCCTCGTCGCCGACGTTGCGGCACGTCCTTGATGCCAAATACGAATGCAGGGGCAGCAGGAGCAGCGGGAGCTGTAGCTCCTCGGGAGGAGAGAGTCAAGAAAGCCTGCTGGACCTCCTCCTCTTGCAGGCCTCCCTCCCTCGTAGCAGCTCTCACTCTTCTTCTCTATCTTCCTCCCTATCCCCCCCCTCCTGTTCTTCATCCCCATCTACCCCTCTTTTACCCATGGGCCTGGCCTGGGAGTCCAAGAGGGAGCAGCGGCTGACTCTCCTCCAGCAGCACGCCAAAGAGGACTGCTACGAGTTCCCCGTCTTCCTGGATGGGATGCAGGATCCAGCGGCGCTCCTCTTTCAGCCCACCCTGGAGGAGATTGAGGAGTTCCTGGAAGAGAACATGGCGGTGGCATTGGAGAAAGAAGAGGAGGGGAGCGATGAGGCACTGTCACCAATGCCAGAGGATGCTGAGGCGAAAGGTTCAAGAACTATAGCAGGAGAATTTGTATCAGTGTCACGGAATTCGGATCAGACTGTGCCCGTGGCACATTCACCGCTCTCCGCCTACACAGAGAACAAACACACACCATGTGCATCGGACATGGACAGCTCGCCATCGGCAGTGGATTTTAGTTCTCCTCGTGGCGTTGACGAGATCAAACATGAGGATTGTGGTTCACCACCAGAAGGTATCAGCGCTTCCAGCGTGCCTGTCATCCTACAAATCCAGCCCATCCAGATCAAACAAGAGCCCAACCCCAGTGCCATCTCAGATACCCAGCAAACCCAACCCCCAAAAACCCAAACCCAGCCAGCCCAGGCCCCGTCGGACATCAAAATTGCCCAACTCCTGGTCAACATCCAGGGGCAGACCTTTGCCTTGGTGCCTCAGCTGCTTTCGGCGACAAACAGTACCAGCTCAAGCAAAAACGGGATCACCGTGTCCCCCAAATTTGTCCGGATCGCGCCGGTGCCCATTGCTGCCAAACCCACTGGGCTCGGGGAAGGGGGGTTCGGCGGGGGCCCGACTGCGGGGGTCCTCGTCGGAGGTCAGAGGTACCAGAAGAGCGCAGTAGCGGACCTCATTAAAATGCACAAGTGCTCTTTTCCCGGCTGTAATAAGATGTACACCAAGAGCAGCCACCTTAAAGCCCACCTGAGGAGGCACACGGGGGAGAAGCCCTTCGCCTGCACGTGGCCTGGCTGTGGATGGAGGTGAGCAGAACCAAGTGTCCTTTTTTTATCAAATCAAATGATGCCGATGAGAGCAGTCATGGACTGGAAAGATGAAGATGTATTAGAACACTCTTGCTACCTTCAGATTTACACACATTGCAACCTTGAACTGATCAAAGTCTGGTGAATGGTGATGAATGGATAGATTGGTCGGAGGATAGAATACAGTACATAGAAGGTGCAGCTAAATGAGTGATGCAATTGTAGGGGGAAGTGTTCTATCTATACTACAGAGATTACAGCAACCAGGACTATCAACTTCCGCTGTGGACTCATATACAGATAGCTGTTGATAATCTAATACATCACTCTTCCGATGTGAGTAGACTTTGAAGAGATGCACACAAGGAAATTAGTTTTCCATGGCAAGAAGAGTGATGAAGGAAAGGACAGATCTTAATCCACCATTAATACAATTGGATGGAAAAGTGTTATTGTTTTCATTGAACTCCTCTCTGAGAGCTGAAATGACACTTGGAAGGTTTTCATACCTTTTCATCGAACAGGAAAATGGGCAGATCTTTGACGTCACCACTTTTAGTTTCATGGGAACATCAAAGTGTTCAGGGACAAGTTTGGGCAATTTTGCTTCCATAACACATTTTTACACTATTCACCTGTAGTGTCTCCCCTTCGATAAAGGCTTAGTTTATGGATGGGAGGGGATGGTGACGGTGGTTTCCATCTTAAGGAAAACTACATTGAATTCTATTCAAGACTGTCACAATCAGTTCGATTCTACATGCTGGCTGTGTCTCCACTATCTGTGTTTTTGTACCATGGTTCAAGTTGTAGATTAGACAGAATGCCTTTTGAAGTTTTCTGCATGCAGACTTTGCCCCCTGCTAGTTATTCCACTTGTTTGCTTACTGTCTGCGCCCACATCACACACACACGCACACACACACACACACACACACACACACACACACACACGTACATTCACGCAGCGGAGGATCAAGCTCATAGTTTTCTACTTCATACGTGTACTTTTCTTTCCGGCAATCATTGCTTTTCATCTAGAATCCTGATCTGCACTCGTCCATCCAAAGTACAAATTCCGACTTTTGGATTCCATTACATGGAGCTATTGCCCGAGAGTGCATGTGTTTGGATGGAGGCAGGGTTGTGTTAGGCTAAGCAACATGTGGTTAACAGGTTAAGTTTGAAATGAGCCTACGGGTGAGGTTAGAATTTGTATTAGCTTTAGGTAAGGAGAGTAACGCAAATGTGCCTGTGAGAGAGTTAGTCCAACTCAGCGTATAGTTCTCCCTGCAACACAACACTCTGTGAGGACGCTGCTCTGAAAGCCTGCAGCCACTTAAAACCCTCCTGATGTGACACTTTTTTTCACAATGTGCGTTATGTCTGGATTTACATTCAAGTATTTGTAAACATATTATATTATTATAATTATTCTAGAGGGTCTAAAAAAAATCATTAGACCCTTTAAGCATTTTTTAAAAGCTGGCTTATGGCAAACGTGTGTTTTGGTCACATAAAGACTTGATGTGTAAAATGCATTTTGTAGCATATGCTTTTTTCCCCTGTTATGCAATTACAAAAAATGTGACATTTTGGGAAATACGTTTAGCCATCTTATGCTAATATGAGAGGAGTATCCATCATCTCTGCAATAAAACGACAAACTATTTATTTTTTGGGCAAACACCCAGTGACCAAGAAAAAATGGTTCCGGGTATAATAACAATTATGAGAAGCAAGAAGGTCCACCAAAGGGCAGGAGGAAGGGGTGTCGAACAAACACAGGACAGGACAGAACAAGATCAGGGTTGTTCGTAGTCGGTTGTTACTTAACATAAGAAAGTCCCCATGGCCGGTTGCTATTTTTTGCAGTAGTTGTTTTGCCGTAACCTAACCAATTGTTTCAGAATGTTGGCATTGACATTGTGCGTTTCTGCAAGCCTGCTACAAAAATGTATTTTTGAAACGTTTCCATGGTTTGCAGGAACATACTGTGCCGACATTTGTTCTGGTGACTGGGTTGCATTTCTGTCCTCCCCAAACTACACTTCTGCATTCTTCACATGACAGCAGTAATATACTGTACTATACAGTTGCCCTTTCCTTGCTCCTCTCCCCAGGAAATGGAGGTGAGCTTGGGAGTAAAGCACCTCTTACCCTCTGTAACTGTAGAATAGATCCATGTGTTTGCCCCTCTGGGGTAGAAAGGAGTGGTATTTCATTGGCTTTCTATAACTCAGTGGAAGTTATGTTTCTTCCTTCTTTCTTTCCAAAGTTTTAAGGTACCCCCCTCTTTCTCTCTGGCTATAGTTAGTTTATGGTTATGCTTATGTAAATATCTGGATGCACGGACAAAGTCACATGTCAACACTTAAAAGGAACACATGCAGGCAACAGTATTTTCAGCTCAGACCTGCATGGAGACTCCCGCGTGAGTTTTTCGGACTGGTCTGGAACCAAAACAGTTTGCTGTAATAACACGGCAGCTGTCATCGGTGCTCTGGCGTGTTGTCCTTGTCAGTCGATGCATCCGTTGTTACAACAAGACAATGTTGTTGGGTGGTGACGGAGCTGTCACTTTTTGATTTAGCGACACACTTGGGCACTTAGAGCTCAGCTGACTATCAGTCAGCTGTGATATGTTATCGACGCTCCTAGGTCCCTCCAGAAAAAAAAAGCCTGTGGCGGAGCTAGAAAGCATCCAGTGTCCTGCTTCAGAACAAATTCAGGAAGTCAGCTCCTCTGGTTTAAAGAAATCCATCTTTGGGAAACCAATCAGAAGATGTTTTATGGCTACTTGTATGTAGCCTTGCTCTATCATTGATTAGTGCTGTCACACATTAATGTAATTCAACTTACACACAGTTGAAATTGAGCCGCTCATAAACACAGTGACGGGAGATGTAAATGTCTTCGAACTGACGGGACAAACAAGGACAATAAAAGACGACAGATAAAGCTACGGTACAGTGTGCGCTTGCCAACATCTCTTGTCATTGTAATTTGCCAGGTGTAAACCTGACAGCCCCACCCTTACGCAGCTGTTTTCACTGTGGTCTATTCGGCTGCAGAGACCCGAGAGCTCAGTTTAGGAACAAGCCAGAACAGAGCCTGCGCATATGTTTCCCACGGCGCCCACGCTAAAATGTGTACTATGTGTTGCACTGCAGCCCCGCCAAGACGCCCCAAGGACTCAAGGTGCAAGTGAAAAACTATGACAACTGGCAGATGATCAATTCCACCCCCCACCCCCAAAAGAAACCTGGATTTGAAGACCAATCAGTGTATTTGTACAAGTCCTAAACGCATGTTGTGTTGAAAGATCTTCCCCAGTTCAGTATGTTGTAGTTGGGCTCAAGCCCAGTTTGAAGTCAGCAGAATAGCTGCATGGTTTCTATCATGCCCTGGCTTGAAGCTAATACAGTACAGCTTTAAGGTATAATGTGTGGATGCGCGACACATGCAGATTACCATAAGGAACAAATGTAGAGTGCAGAGCATAAAGAGACTGATGTGGTTTCAGATTTTAACTTTAACAACGACATGCCTCTTGGTGTAGAATAAGTAACCCTGCTAATCCGTAGCATCTGTAGAGACACGCATGTGACAGACAAAGTCATTTTGCCAGAAGGGCACTTGTTGTAGAAAGAATTCGTTTCCACCAAAGCTGCATACTTTTATTTTTTAGAATGGATCAGATGTAAAGGGTTGCTTGAACTGACGAACCCAAAGATAATTCTCAACCGTTCTCCGCAGCTCTATGGAGTGATAAAGGTACAGTTTGTGGCAATTGGTGTATAATCACCTGAAAATAAGAATTGTTGTGTTTACTTTACCATAGAATCTACATAGGGAGTGGGTCCTCTTCACGGAGTCTGCAATGTTGCACCGTCATATTTCTACAGTAGCCCAGAACGGACAAACCAAACACTGGCTATAGAGAGGGCCTTTCATGTTCTGGTCGGCCAATGTGTTCTACTACACGCTTGGAATACAGGAGAAATTTCAGTCAGTTGTAAGACGACGCCAAATGCTACACGCTGGCCCTTTAAAACGTCTTTCAGCTTGTTGTTTTTACCTGATTGGTTTTGGTTCACTCCCACCTCTCTCATCAACGTTTCCAGCAGCAGCAGGCCACAGATTTTTGCCCAGCACCAAAGAGGCAAAGTTAGCAGCTAACTGGTGAACAAAGTGGAACATTTAGCTGCTGAAGACTTACAGATAATAAAGGTTTTGGTGGGGACCAAAACAGAGCCAAAAGCAGAGTAAATATTTCATCCGTTAGGGGGCCAAATCCCCAAGTTCAAATAAATGTTACTGTTGTCCGATAATTGTACAGTTTAGTAGGCAACATTTACCAACTTTTTAACTTGAGAGTACGTTTTCATCTTATTCTGCTAGTGAGCAAGTATCTTGCAGCACATGCAAACTGTCGCATAGACTCCAAAAAACAGATTCAAATGAGCAATATATCCCTCCAGCTCAACTATATAGAAAACATGCGTATTTGTAATAGACCTAGACTCACTCAGAACAGACTGACGTGGCTTTATGGAGGGCAATGACGGTCAGAATATCTCAACAGCTATTAGATGGACTTTTGTACTGACATTCATGGTCCTAAAGACTTTGTGATGCCCTGACCTTTCTTGTAGCTCCGCCATGTGGTTCCAATTTGTGGCTTTCGGTGATGTGTCTCAAAAACAATTTTGATGGATTGCCAAGAAATTGGGTACAACATTCATTTCCCATTGGGAAAAATTGGAATAAGTTTGGCGACACCTTCACTTATCCTCTAGCTCCATAATCAGGTTGTAGTTTGTCCAATGCTTTGGTTTATGAGCAGATACAGCATCAGCTGTGTTTTCGGGCTTATTAGCAACGGTAGCATACTAACACACAAAATAATGATGGTAAACACAATAAATAGCACTGCTTAGCTTCAGGATGTTAGCATCGTCATCAGGGACGTACGGAGGCGGAACTTCAGCCAGAGACTTTGAGATGGGCAGGCCTTTTATGTGGCGAGTTTAAACTCTTTTGGCAATGAATGACAACCGTTCGTATCCTCCTTTATTATTGAAATTGTTAGACAGGCCTCTCCGCTTTGTGTTGCCTGTGGCTGCATACCACGGCAGAGGACCATACAGTAACTACTGTAATCAGAATGTAAAAAACTCTCTATGACCACCAACCGATCCGACCTGGAATGGATCGCTCGTTCCGGAGTCTTCCTGAACTTCTCGATGGCCAGTCCACGTTTGATTGTCATTGTGAGCATGTCGGCATGCTGACATTAGCATTTAACTCATCTAACGCAGTCTCACAAGTGTGCCCGTAGACTCTTATGCTGCAACAACATGGAACCAGACGGTAGATGGCAGATGGACAACACCTTTTGGGTGATATGGGAAAAACAGTTCAACGGGATGGCAGGACAAAACGATAGAATCATACTGAATATATTTATTTCCCTCACGATAGCAATATACGTATATCATCGTATGTCCTTTTTGTCTGTTATTTCACATAATTAGTCTCGTTATGCATTCAAAAATATGCGGCTTTCTCTTTAAAAAGTAAATCGCAAACATTCCCCTTGTGCGGGGGTGCTAAGTAACATCAGGTTGTGTTCTGTCGTGTAAAACGACAAAAACAAAAGTAATTCTGTCTTCCGGTACCGTTGCTGGTACTCTCTGCCGGCCTCACCTAATTTTACGGTCTTGCTGTCGTTCACCAAAATGATTCACTGCCTGACTCCATGTGACCGCAGCATTAGTCTGGTCACAATGTTGACTAGTTATCTATACTACTCAGTTATAAGAACATATCCTGAACATGTAAAAGGCCAACAGATGCAGGGCTACAAACAAAAGTAAGCCCAGGTAAAGCTTAAATCTAAGTGTAACAGTCTTTGGAAAAGATATTCTCTGGCTTTCTGACTATAGGCAAAATAAAAAGAATTCAATACCAAACAATTAACCAAATGACTTTTAAAGGCTGTTTGTTTTTTGAGGTTCCTTGCTTTTCAAATTCCACGCTTGGGCTTTATAAGCTCTGTCAGTTATCTTCTTTTTATTGGGCCATTACAATTATGAAGAGGCAGGTTATGTAATCCACTTCTAGAGTGGAAATGCTTTGAAATAACCATGAGCGACATCTTTATATCTCTGTGAGTTATCGCCTTCATGACTTCAGCCCGCCGCTAATACTGAAATAGGAAAATGGGAAATTAATCTGTGTTAACGATTAATCTAATTTTAACAGCTTCACTTATACATACAGGTACACACACACACACACATCTGGCCCACAGGCACTATGCTATCAACCACTTAACCCTTCACTGTCATGATACTCAAAGCTGGCTTGAGCCCACAGAGACTGGAGCAGAGCAGGCCAGGAATAGATTCCTGAGTTATATATGGGATGGCTCTTTAACTTGCTTGACATGGATTTTACTTTATTTGGCTGTTTGAAGCGTGACTATAGGAAGTGCAGTATAATTTAACCATAGAATTTGGAGTATTTCAAATGAGAGCGCAACAGTCTAGTTCCTCTGTGAAATTCCGTGAGAGTTTTGATCGACTGCGATTAGGGAATAAAACACAGAAATTGGAAGCAATAACGGGGGATTAAAGCGATGCTTGATGTTCCAAAAAAATGTGTTTAATACATCTGATAAATCACATCCTGGGTTTTCCTTCTGGCAGGTTCTCCCGGTCCGACGAGCTCTCCCGACACCGGCGCTCCCACTCGGGAGTGAAACCATACCAGTGCATCGTCTGCGAAAAGAAGTTCGCCCGCAGCGATCACCTGTCGAAACACCTCAAAGTCCACCGCTTTCCACGAAGCAGCAGGACAGGGCGCTCTGCAAACTGACTCTTATGACCCCACTCTGACAGACTGACGCTGAGTGGGGATGGGGGAGGGGGTATGTGTTTGTGTATTTGTGTGTGACGAAAGACAGCGGGGGGGTGGGGGGGTTTGAAAGTCCAAACACCTTTTTAAAGGGGTCTGTGTAGGACTCTTGAGCTGGTGTGTTTATGTTCTAACGTGTACGCGTGACGTACATCCTTGGTACTGTTATAATTTATTGGGTGGTGAGGAAAAGACTGTAAAAAAAAAAACCTAAAGTGAAACAGAAAACTGTTACTTGACACAACACCCTCAGAGGTGGAATAAGCTTCTTGTATATAACAACTTTTTTTTTTCTCACTCAAATCTTTTAGCTGATCTAATTTGAGGAAAGATTTGCTACTCAGAGTAGTTTTACACTTTGAAATCCGTGTTATTGTTATTGCTGGAGTCAAAAGCCTTACATGAATAAAATTAAATGCATCGCTAAGGGGTGTGCTAAAACCCCAACTTTTATTTTTTTACCTTCCTGGAGGCAAATGTTGTTTAGCAAAAACGCATCGCTTGATGGCTTGAAATTGAATTTGTTGCCCGGCAACAAGAGCTAACTGGACATGGGGAACTGTTGGGGCCTTGGTGTAATTCGTCCCCGATTGACGGCAGAGTGATTGATGCATCAACATTCCTGTAGCTTTGAATACTGTCTTTATTGCCTTTGAGTCTCATAACAGGAAAAAAACAAAACACTGAAGTAACCTCAAACACAAGGAGAATGCTCATGTTGAATTACAGCTCACCAGCAAACATCATGTCATTATGTAATTTGCACTGGCATATGTGAAAAGTTTGTATTTCTGGCTATTCTTTATTTTTGTCTCATCTGGTCCAGAGAGTTTCTTCAGAACATTGGTATCTTTTTTTGGGGATCAAAACTAAATTGGGATGCAGCCACATCCAATGATTATCTGCGAATTATTTCAATCCAATGTTCAAAACAAATTTGTTCTTCTGTCTTCAGCTCGTGATAGATAACATTTGTTTTCTGGTTTTGTGATGCCATAACCATTACTTACTTCATGTCACTGCTGTCACAAGTGGCACAAGCAAAGGTTGGTGGTCTTGAACGTATCAAATCTCTTGCCTCCTCTCCTGCCAAATCAATTTTTTTTTTGTCCCTCTTCTGTTTAATGTGAATACAGAATCATTTTTTTGCATATCAAATGAAATGAAATAATTTACATATCAAATCTAAGTGGATTCTTTTTTGCACTTGCTGATGCTGGAAGTATGTGCCGTTACAACATCAAATAACAAATTCACCCCAGATCAGCTTCATGTATATGCCTATGTAACTAGCTGAACAGCAGCCCCCATTGCCACAAATGACAATTACAGGATATTTACAGTAAGTAAAGAAGAAACACAAAGTATTAGCAAACATTCGCCACCATAAGCTCCTGGTCATACCAGACCAGGTAGAGCCTCGTTTATCCTCTCAAACGGATGCGTATACAGTCTGCTTGGAGGAGGCGTTCCACACATGCACAGTAGATTGCTACGCTAACGCTTGTAGCTTCTTGGAGGTAGAAAGTAGAACTTTGGCTTGAGGCCTTATCAGCAAAACGCCTAAGTTTATTGACTTTAGAAAGGGAGTGCTTTATGGTCTATAAATTCAACTTTTCTTTTGTAAAAACAAATCAATGTGCTTGGTTTGTTTCAAAAGTTACATAGACTCGCTTTAATATCAGTATTTTGTACTTTTGTAAGAGGCAAGTAAAATATGGCTTTTCCATTGAAGCCTCTTCTCTTTTTAAATTAGTCAATTGTCAATAGTTCAACAAATTCATTTAATAAAATAAACTAATTGGTTTACATAGAACATTTACTTTGGTCTTATTACTTGTTACAGCATATGCTGCAAGGTATATAGGAAATTGGAGATCATTTAAAATTTCATCTGTCCCTGGTCTTGAACATATCGGATCTATTTCCATGAAATGAGATGCCTTGGTCTCATACTGTAAGAGAAAAGTGACTGTTCTGCTTGTTTTTTGTCATATTACATTTCCCCGTATATGTTGTTTTAGCGTGTATCATTGTGCATCTCAGTTGAATTAAACCAAATGTGTTATGGGAGGGACGCAAAATGCCTGCTGCACAGAGCTCAGACGTAGTTTTTCGTGTACTATGAAGTTAAGGATCAGCCAACGATAATCCGTGCCGATATTTTTTTAAAAGAGGAATGTTTGATTCGCGAAACCTACATCGATTGACGAACCCCTTGAGTGATCGGTACGTGGCGGATGAACAAGACGCTGTATGGAAGAAGTGTAACATCGATGTCAAGCATTCCTTCTGTACAATCAGGAGAAACACTTTTCTGAATGGGTGTCACGTGTGAGCCCGTGAATGTATGTAAATACTGTATATGCATCTGAAAAGGAGATCTGAATTATTCTTCTGGTGATTTCTGTGATTGTGAAAGATTCTTTTAAAGAATATGTAAAGAAAGCGTACATAATGGGATAATTCAAATATATAGTGAAAGATGTGGTAACATGCTTTATCTTGTCAGGTTTTTACACGACACATGATTATAAAATGCTCATGACAGTTTTCATAACACATCCATGGATCAGAATTGATGCCATATTCTCCAATATGCAAATCTGTAACTTGGTCAGGTGCAAATTGCAATACAGCATAATGTATTATGAAACATGTGATGAGTAAGGTGTGTGTGCTCTGTAAATACATTACAAGCAAAGAGTTGCTTAAAATGTTATATTTTTGCTTTTGTTCCTACGTAAAACACATTTACAATAAAAATCCCAAAACCAAGTACATGTTTTCTGTTGTCTGGGAACTATTCACAGTCATGATCAGCATTTATCACACAAACGCCACAGACCACCAACATAAATTCTTTAACACAAATATAACTTCAGCTGAACAGCGGCCACCGTTGCCACAAGTGATGATTCTGGGATTAGCCGCCATAAACTGGTCACACCAGACCAATTAAGGCGAAGTGTATCGAGTTGAACAAAGGAGGGTCTCGTGGTTTATGTGTTCAACTTTTTACATGGAAGATAATGAATTTGAGGTCTATTTTCAAAAGTTGCACAGCCTGGCTTTAATATTGTTAAACTTTACTCATAGCTTAAACGGGCACTCAGAGAAATACGGCTCTCAATTGAGCCTTTGCTAAGTCCCGCCCCTCAAACACAGACTGGCCAATCATAGCGTAGCATCGGGACAGCGCCATAGACTCTAATGCAATGGTTTTCTACATTTTCAGGCTGGTTTAGTGGGTTTGGATTTAGACATGGTTAAATCTTTTGTAAAAGTGATACTCGTTACCTGGAGAGGTAGGAAGAAAATGTAACACGTGTGATTCTTGGTTGTCCAGTTCTAGCTCAATATGCAACTGATGCTAATGTGTCTGAAATCACTGCCTATTTAGTAAAAGTGCACTGTATTTACCCTCCTCCAGTTGTGTGTTTACGTAATATATAATAAAAAGTTTATATGGCACATACTCTTTGCTCACAATCCCACAATGCAGTGTTTTGCATTTCTTAAGATGCTTGTATTGCCGTTGTGCGACTCTACACCTGCCGGTGATGACGCAAAACGACTGCAGTTATAAGCTTCGATGAAACTTGTAAAAAGTAGAGTTTTGTCTTTTTCATAATCTTTTGTGGTATGTATTCCAAAGGTCAAAATAAAAATCCAATATATAAAAGTAAGGTTAGGTGACTCATATGAACATATTGCCCTGGTGCCTATTATCCACATATCAGAGAGTGAGAGAAACAAAATAACTGTTTCCCGTAAGGTTGCATAAGGAACATAAAGCTTGGAAATGTTAGAAATGTCAAGATTTGTACCACATGATGATACCACAAATTTGCATGGAAATTATACCCCTTTTCTTTTTCTGCACTCCCTTCATCCAGACTTGTCCTTGTTCACCCCACCACTTACCCCTCCTCCCTCACAACATTTTTAAATAATGGCTTTGGATGTTTTTCTGCCTCTTAGAAGGTTTGCCGAGTCATTGTGGACAAAAAGAGTAGCGGCTAAGTGTCTGTGTGCGCGGTGTCTGTTATGGATATAGATCATGTCGATTTGTGACCCAGTGCCGTCTCAGAGGCAATCTGGGAGGCAACAGAAGGAATTCATTCAACACATCTGGATCTGAACGACACTCTGCTGGTTTTTGCTCGTCTCAGGTTCAGCAACGGGGCTCCTTTTCTTCAGATGTCCAAAGATTTTCTGAAAGAAGAAAAAAGGTTGCTTATATTTACTAGACACCGATAACCTAAGCATACTTATACACTGATTGCTTGGCAATGTTGGCAAGCTGAGCATGTTTGAACATGCGACAGTAGAATCAAATACAGTTCAATACCATAAAAGTAAAACAAAGTCTTCTGGCAATCAAGCACTTGGACGTAATATTCATTTTTATTTTAGTAAGTGACAGTCATATTCTCCAGGGGGTTCACATTAGACATGTTTGTGCATTCCCACATGTCTTGGCTGGTCATAATCAGAGTCGGTGTCGTGCAGGAACTGTCAAGGAAGAATCTTTCGACAACTATATTTCAAGAATGCTTCCTCATTGAATCACTGAAGGACTGTTCCAATGTCGAGGACCCTTTGAATTCTAGCTAAAATATTTCCTTTGTTCTGGGGATTTTCCAGTGCGTATCCTCTGAGCTCCTGAAACAACCACAACCCTGTACCCACGATGCATTTCCTGATCTCCGATTTGAAAACAAGGAAAAAACGCGAACAAACTCTCAGTGACTTCACCTCAGCAGTCCACGAAAGTCATCCAGTTAAACCATTAACGTTGTGATATTAAAGTATTACAGTACAAGCACAAAGAGGCCAGCAAAATGTGTAAAACCAGCATATTTTTACATCTAGCGCCGTGAATTAATTAATTAATTTCAGCCAAACTCGTGTGTATGTATGTATTTGTTACCTTCACAGCTGCCTATACTGTACTTTCTCACATGGCAAGACTAGAGTTTTAAAATTACAACTTTGGTGCACATGTTTCCTTTACTACTGTCAGCATTTGAAAGCAACACGCTATATACACTGGCGAACAATCGCCACTCGAAGTACAAGTGATATCACAAGACAGGACGGGCCAGCGCTTGCTGGTTAGCATGCTAATTTCAGTAGATACCTTTGCAACACAAAACTTAACATCAACACTGTGCCCTCTTCAACTTCTATTGACATTGTCATTCATTTTTTGAATGTCTTTAACTAAAATTATGGCCATATCTTACACCTTGTACCTCGAATTTCACCGCTACCACACGGTTGTGATTTTTCTTGTTCTTTACATTACCAAGCCTTAGCTGTGCTTTCTGTTGTTTGTTTACTGACAATTACAATAATGTTAGCATGCTAACACGTTAAACTACAATTATGAACACGGTCAACATTGTACCTGCCTAACATCAGCATGTTAGCATTGTCGTTGTGAGCATGTTAGCATGCAGATGTTAGCATTGAGCTCAAACCACAAGCTAAGATTGTCCGTAACTCTATATAATACATCTTAAACCCCACTTTCTACATAATTCCCAATATTAATTAACTGAGGTTGCCACCCTTTTATTATATTTTACATTGATAGAATTATACTTACTGCAACTGCAACAGTAATAAGTCAAATCAAACCAACAACAATAAGCAATTAGGAGCCTAGAAACATACAGTCACAGAAAATGTAACATTTGTTGATATAATTATATTTTACATTGACCTTGTTCACCTAAGGCATGTTATAAAATTCAAAATCAAAGCAGCAGTAACAGGTGTCTTACATATGGTGGCTCGATGTCAGGCACACAGTGTTCTTTACATAACCATACAGCCTGCTCAGATGGGTCTCCTAGGTCCAGTGAAATGCCAGCACATTTCATTTAGACTGCAATGATGGGAGTGGTACTTCATTTACACACAGGGGCACAAGCAGGATAAACCCGACTTGTACACATTGTGCAGCAGGCATACAAAATGGACTGGTCATTAAGAGTATACATGCTGTACACACACTCACGTGGAGCAGGGAGGAATTCTCCATTATGTCGACAATGGCAAGCTAAACCGGCCACCTGAGAGACAAATTTATGACAGCAGGAAGGGATGGAGTCCACTCTCCAGCAATTTGGCTTCCCATGTGTTCCAGGGAGCCCACGTCTTACATCATCCCCACATGACACCACACAATGGGTGGACACAAAGAACCTTCCCGAGGATGGAATCGCCTTAGCTGACTGGCATTTTCATGTCTGACTTCTGATATCTGCAGTTCCTTGTGTGTCTGTGCTCGGCACGTGCACTGTCTTACGTGTTACAGCATCTTAGACATGCAAAGAAATCACTCCATTGATCAACTGCGCCAAAGAAAAAAAGCTCCTTTAAACAAGAGTTCGGCCTCCAATCCCAAGTGAGTATCAAAAACGGTGTGCTTGTTTATGTGCAAAATCAAAAGTAAAAGTACGGTAATAGCAGAATCCCTCATGTAATTGCTATGTTATTATATTATTATTATTATTATGATGATGCATTAACAGGCAGCATTTCAATGCTGTTGCTGGCTGCGATGGAGCTAACTTAAATGGTTTTCATTGCATAAATTTAACTGCGGCTGCCACCGTAGTTGTGTTGCCTAAATGGAAGGAGCATAACAAATAAATAACAAAATTCCTATTTGTTTTCCATTTGTCTTCCTTTCATTCCCGCTCATTCATTTTTCATGAGACGATTCTTTGAAGGGATGAGCCAACATACACTCCACATCAAGTAGCGGAGCACAGTGACAATTTGTCACTGAGATGATTGACACCCACCGACTGTGAGGGATGCCAAGTCAATGGAACCCGCAGTTCAAAGAAGTAGGAGTGTGGTATGCAAAAGGGGTGGGCTGTCACTTTAAGCACCCGTCTCCCTCGGGCAACAAGCTCTCAACTCACCTTGTAGACGAGCCCTCCTCCCTCACTTTCTAATGCCTGCTTTTGTTTCACATATATTGAACCTCTCTAAACCAGTATGTCACACACACACCTGAACGCCAATGCAGACGAAGAAAGTCAGAAGCACTTTTAGGCAGGGCGACCCCCACACGCACGAAAAACACCCACCCACTGAATGGAAAGCTCTTGGATACATCACTGCATCTACATCCAATTTACAGTAACACCATCTGTCACTATTATCTAGATGGAATCCTTTTTTTACTATCCATCCACATTAACACATGTTTTATGTTTCAGGCATCTGAAGAGTGAATTACAACAAAGGCAGAGTGGAGAGGAGGCTATCAATCAATCAATTTTTTCTTCTCCCATTTCTTTCGCTCTGCCTCAGCCGAACGACTCTTTGACAGCTAGAGGTGATTTTAATGAGGCAGAACAAACTGGCAGATGACCAGAGAGGCTGCGGCACTCATGAGGTTGGGATTGGGAGCGTGACCGCCAGACCCGAGCTGAAGATGTTCAAAGCATTTACTAACCGGTGTGACATACTGTGGCGGCAGCACAGGGGAGCATTGATTTTTACTTAAAACTAGTGATGTGGGTCACCGACGATTACCTGCTTGGTAGCTGTGAATGTGGAATCACGTAAGATGTTTTAACTTAAACCTGCAATAATTGTTTGGGTACTTGGATGCAGCGCAAACAAGCCTCAAAGACAACAGTCAAATAATGAGTGTATATGGCAAACTATATTCACTCTCTATTCATTGTTGTGGTCTCCATTAACTCTTTGGTTGGCAGGTTGTGGATTTATAAAGCTTTTCCTCTGAAAAGTCCCCATGAGCAGCCCCTTTCACATAAAACATTTCCAGAATTTTGTTGCTGGGCCCTATTCACAAAACAACAGCGGTTAGTTTGTATGAGTATAAGGTGTTTGAATCCGTTGCAACAGCGGTGAATCCAAAGGTTTGTACGACATCCTATTAAACGTACTGCTCCTTTTTCAGTGTGTTTTCCTACAAAAGCCTGCAACATGTGTCAATTTTCAAAACTACTAATTAGATTTAGAAATATATCGTGAAATACTTGGTTAGGGTTAGGCAACAAAACTACTTGGTTAGGTTTAGGAATATATCGTCGTTTGGGTTCAAATATTTACGGAAGTGCTGTTGCTAAAGCACGCAAGTTACGTGAAAAGAACATCAACATTGAC